TTGGATTTATACCCCGCCCTTCACTACCCAAAGGTGTCTTAGAGCGGCTTACAAACTCCTTTCCCTTCCCCTCCCCACAACAGACACCCTGTGAGGTAGGTGGGGCTGAGAGAGCTCTTGACAGAAACTGCTCTTTTTCAAGAACAGCTCTTATCAGAACTATGGCTTGCCCAAGGTCATCCAGCCAGGTGCAAGTGGAGGAGTAGGGAATCAAACCCGGTTCTCCCAGATTAGAGTCCGCGCACTTAACCACTATACCAAACTGGCTCTGTAGTGCCCCATACTAGTGGGTACCTTGAGGACACTGTCTCTCCCAGCACCACCCTCTGCCCCTGACTGTGGAGGAATGAGGTAAACCATTGCAAGACTACCCCATGGACTCCAGCTTCAGCAAGACAGTGGATCAATAGACTGTGGTCAGTCATGTCAAACACTGCTGTAAGATCGAGTAATATCAGCAGTGCTGACCCGCCTCAATCCAGCTGCCTGTGGAGATTGTCAGTCTCCATTCTGTGGCTGGGGCAGAAGCCAGATTGGAATGGATCTAACACCAATGTGTCATCCAGGAATTTCTGGAGCTGTTCTGCCACCACTGTCTCAATTGCATTGCCCAGAAATGACAGATTCGAAACAGGGTGGTAATTGGCCAGATCCATAGGATCTAAAGTTGTTTTTTTTAAGAGTGGGACAATCAATGCCTCCTTCAGTCCCGCAGGAAAGACCCCCCAAACCCAGGGACGGATTGATGATATCTTCCAGGGGACCTCGTAGTCCCTTGCTGCTGGCTTTCACCAGCCACAAGGGGGCACAGATGTAAGAGGCAGCACCCAGAATCCTGTTGACATCAGCTCCGGAGAGCCGGTTGAAGTTGTCAAAAACCGAGTCCAAAGACGGCCAAGGGCCTCCAGTTCATGTACTGTATTAACTGGGAGGTTGTGGCAGAGCAACAAGACTTTATCTGCATAAAAGCTCACAAATGCCTCACAGCTTATAGCCAAATTACTACTATTCTGAGTCCTCTCTGAGAGACCTAATTATCCTGAATAATTGAGCTGGGTGAGAACTAGCAGACACAATGGAGGCTGCATAAAAAAAAACCCTGCCACCTCATAGGATTTCATAAATGACCTGAAAGATGCTCTTGTAGCTTCATTGCGAGCTCACTGCCAAATTCACTCTGGTCATCTGAGTCCCCATTTCATCCCCCTAAGTTCCACGGAGAGGCCGTCAGGGGGTGACTTCATTGATGGCTTCAGAGAGACGGGAATTCCAGTCCTCTATCAGCTCATCTAAGGAATCGCCAGAGGGCATTGGTTCCCACAGAGCATTCTGGAACCCAGTTGAGTCCATTATTCTCCACAGCTGAGCATAAATCTGCTCGATGCCTAGACAGGGGAGGGGCAGAGACACCCAGCTGGACTTTCAGGATACAATGATCTGACCATGGCACCAACATCTTGGCCATCAGATCCATATCAAACCCCATGCTGAAGATTAAATCCAGTGTGTGGCCTGTTAGTTGTGTGAGCCTTGATAGCAATCTGGGTGAGCCCTAGTGCAGCCATGGATGACGCCAGGTCTGAAGCCTGCTGTGAGGAGGCAACGTTGGCATGGACTTTTAAGTTCCCAATGACTACAATCCTTGGGAATTCCGAGGCCCAGCTGGCCACTGCCTCAAGCAGGCTCGGAAGGCTGTTTGCTGGCACGCTAGGCAGATGGTACACCAGACAGACAGCCAAGTTCACCTCAGAGTCCCAGACCAGGCCTACACAGTCAATTCCAGTAATCTTCAATATGGGGATCACCTTGAAGGAAAATCCCTCTTGGATGAGTAACACCCCCACCCCACTGTTTGGGACTGATGGGCGGCCGAGAAACCTGTAGGGAACAGCTCTTTCAAGGCAACTGTTTCACCTTCCCTTGTCCATATCTAGGCCACAAGCACCAGGTCCACATCTTGTGCTGCAATGTAATTTTGTAGTGTCGAGGTCTTATTGTTAATGGACCTGGCAATACACAACATCAGTGTCAAGGGGGGGAGATATACATTCCTAGCCATGGGACAACAAAGCTTTCTCATGCCATGCTCCATGCTTTATAGTAAATGTGGGTTGTTGTTTTTTAATTTAATGAAGTTATTTCTATGAAATCAAAGGGGATGGCCAAGCTCTAGGTCATGGGTGCTACAAGTAGCACGTGTGATAGGAGATTATGGTATGTGTGAACAAGAGATGGAAGGTGTGTGGTGGGCCTGACCAAGACATTTGACTTGCACCCTGATTGCTGTCGCCTGTTCCATACAACAGTGAACTGAAAGTCTAACTGCATGCAAAGTACCGGAGGCAGGGCCAGAATGACACTCTCCAGCTTTGCCTTTACCCAAAAGAGCAGCCACCATTCCTGTAATAAGTAATATCCAATTTCTTTAAGAAATCTAGATTCAGGTGGGTAACTGTGTTGGTCTGAAGTAGCAGAACAAAGTTTGAGTCCAGTGGCACCGTGAAGACCAACGGAGTTTTATTCTGGGTACAAGCTGAAGAAGTGTGCATGCACACGGAAGCTTATACCCAGAATAAAGCTTCGTTGATCTTAAAGGTGCCGCTGGACTCAAACTTTGTTCTATTAAGAAATCTAGTTAGATAAGCATCTGTGACAGTCCCACCAGCATAATGGGTTGGAGTTAGTGTGAGGGTCTTTGAACGTCTCAGCTCTTCCCTCCTCTCAGTAGGTTGGGAGGCTCCAGTGGGGATGAGAAGGGCAAAATCACTCCCTTCTGCCTTGTCCATCAGCAGAACTCCACTGATGCACGGGACAGAAGGACACAATTTTACCCCTTTCCCCACTGCAGCCTTCCTGTGGCTCCAGGAATAAGCTTTTCTAGGGTCAGAAATACAGATGGATTAGAGAGCCAGTGTGGTGTAGCCATTAAGACTAGTATCTGGGACAGCTAGGTTTGAATCTCTGCTCATGCAATGGGAAACTCACTGGGTGGCCTTGGGCCAGTCACTCACTCAGCCTAACCTACCTCACAGGGTTGTTGAGAAAAACAGGCAAAAATGCTTAAATATTCAGAGTTTGCAATGGATCTTTGCTTCACTGGAGAGGAGGCAATTCTTTCTGTTTAAAAATCTTTATTTCTAAAGGAAAAGGGTACACAGGAAACATACAAAATAAAAGAGGTACCTAGAACTACATCTTCAATCTTTACAGCTACAAACAGACAGACCACATGGTCACACAACAATGAAGATTCTCCTTTTTCTTGACCCCTAGAAGGAAGGTATTAACCAATCAATGTTACAAAACAGACTTCAGTTTTCCCGGGCTATCTTTCCATTGAGTCTGTGCCAGGTTTCCTTCCAGGTCAGACTAAACAATAGTACACAAGGTAAACAACAGATTAACCCTATAATGACTGAATCTTAGACCTTGCAACTCACATATTTCCAACAGTTGTGAGGATAAAATGGAGGAAAGGAGAACGATGTAAGCCTCTTTGGATCCTCACTGGGGACAACAGTGGGGTGTAAATTAAGAGATAGTTTGGTGTAGTGGTTAGGAGTGTGGACTCTAATCTGGGAGAACCGGGCTTGATTCCCCACTCCTCCACATGTAGCTGCTGGCATGACCTTGGGTTAGTCACAGTTCTCTCAGAGCTGTTCTGGAAAGAGCAGTTCTCAAAAGAGCTCTCTCAGCCCCACCTACTTCACAGGGTGTCTGTTGTGGGAAGGAGAAGGGAAATGAGGTTGTAAACTGAGACTACTTCAGGTAGTAAAGGGCGGGGTATGAATCCAATCTCCTCCTCCTCCTCCTCCTTTTTCTAAATAATAAATAAAATGGAGTTAGAAGGGTATAAAGCTGTTTAGGATTACCCTGTTAGTGGTGTGTCACTCTCTGTGTTTCCATCATAGAATATATTTTAAAGCTGTCTTGAGCTGGATAGCCCAGGCAAGCCCTGTCTCCTACACAGGGCCCACTCTGGCAAGTACTTGGAAGGGCGACCTCCAAGGAATACGAGGGCCGGGACGCAGAGACAGGCTAATCAAGCCACCTCTCTGAAAAGTGTCCAAGCCCCCAGTAGGGGTTGCCCGAAGTCAACCATGACTTCCAAGCAAGCACTCACATGCACACGTGCACGCACACACAAAATATATTAAAGCTCAGTTTTAACACACACACACACAATTCACACAGACACTCAACTATCCTGGCACAAATTTTCTCACCCCAGTTAGTTTTGGTCATCTCTATCAACTTGCAAAAGAGAATTTTAGCACACATATGGTGTGGTAAACTGTGTGGTAAAATGAGCACCCCCATGTCTGTTGAGAAACCGTAGGGCCGAGTTCTCCAGAAATGTTCCACTTTTATTTAAACAAAATAATACAGTGTTGTGAAGGCGGGGTTTGGAGAGGGGAGGGACCTCAGCAAGGTACCACAGAGTCCACCCATCAAAGCAGCCATTTTCTCCAGGGGAGTTGATCTCTGTCAGCTGGAGATTAGTTGTAAAAGCAGGGGATCTCCAGGCCCCACCTGGAGGCTGGCAACCCTAGTCCCAGTGCAGTACAATTGGTAGCCTATTTAATTGGGAAATGGAAAGGCCAGATTCAAATCCCGCCCCAGGGGTGGGGGGGTGGGGAAACAGTATGTTCCCTGGGGTACTTGCAGTTGTTCTCCTAACAGATTCTATTTTACAGAAATGCAACTCTGGGGTGGGGTGGGGAAAGGGGGTTGTGAACTTGATCGCAGCATAAGCATCATGGGGAAGAAATTCTTAACCCTTTCCCTGTGGGTTGATTTTGCAGCCTACCTCCCAGGGTTGTTGTGAGGATAAGATGCCACTTGGGACTCCTTGGATGAAGTCAGCTTGTGAATGTTACTGAAATAATCATTTATTGGCAGTAATAAAAGAGCAGCAAAAATTCATGGGCGCTTCTAAAGAAGAATTTTTAAAAGGTAGTGCTGCTGGGAGACTAATGGAAAGCTTCATCTCTTTACAGAAGGAATTCTCTTCTGCCCGTTGCTGTTCTGAAGCTTGGTTTTCAGTTGACTCAGTCTCGCAGCTATATACCCAGGAGAGCTGTTCTCTACGTGCCTGCTGATGATGAGAGAAAGATACAAAAAGTTCCGTCTCTTAAGGTGGATTGTGCAGTGCTGGACTGTGAAGATGGAGTTGCTCTAAATAGAAAGGTAAGAAGTACATTATTCATAGAGTCAGGCGTGATTTGCTTTGGCAGTTGTCGTTACATTTCAGCTCACATTCTGCTCTACAGTCGTGAATAGAGAACTGATCATTTGGCAAGCTATTTGGACATGTCCAAGCAAATTTGAATGAATCCAATTTGCATAGTTACACTTTCTCACATGAAGAGTACCATCCACTGCCACTGCCTCCAATTAAAAAAACCAATACAGTAAAAAGGAAAGAAAAGTTTGATATTTTTAAGTTGAGGCTTACTACTTATGTGTTTTGTCTATTTTGAGCATCTGTCCATGAACCCAGCTAATCACGATCAGTTTCTGCAATAGCTGCTGACTTTTTTTTTTGCCTTCAAGTCACAGCTGACTTATAGCGACCCTGTAGAGTTTTCAAAGCAAGAGATGTTCAGAGGTGGTTCGCCATTGCCTGCCTCCGTGTCTTGACCCTGGTTTTCCTTGGCGGTCTCCCTTCCAAATACTAACCAGAGCGGACCCTGCTTAGCTTGCAAGATCTGATGAGATCAGGATAGCCTGGGGTATCCAGGTGCTATACAGCTGACATACAGGTGCAAAAAGGAGGCAATGCAATTCATCCAATATTGGTAATTTAAAGAATGCATGTGACTGTACAGGAGCAAAGAGGGAAAGACCTGGAGACAATTCCGTGCTTTATACAGGTTGATCAATATTATGATCCAGGCCATAAACCGATAGGATACTGCTCCTTCTGCTTCAGTAAATGAGATGATTTAGTTGTTGTGACTGGGCATCAGCAGCCACAAGCTGTTGTGAGCCGCCCTTGGCTGGGAGGGCGGGGTATAAATAAATAAATAAATAAAACCATCAAGTGGCTATGGGTGCAAAACTTCTGGGGGACTTCGCTGAGGACAGCATGTAACCATGAAATAAGTTCGAATGAGGTAAGTTTGACTGACAGTCTTTTTCATGCTGAAATTACATCTTGCCTAAGTACAACTGCATTGAAACTATGTCCAGAGAACCATGTATGTCCTAGCACAATCTACGTTTTGTCCTGTTTCAAGCACTCACAAGAGGTCACAGTACAGGAGCAGAACTCGGCAACTCTCTTAATCCAGGTGTCCTTTGATGTACGCTGATTTTTCCAGTGACCTACAAAAATGTTAAAGTGCGGACAAAGCCTTATTATTGCCACTAGTCTTCTCCCTTTCCTGCTGTTCCTTGTAATCTTTACCCTTTTCAGATTAGCCCTTATATTGAAAGAATCTGTGAACATAATACAGAATGAGCAAGACATCGGGTTAACGCATGTGACGCCTTATTGCGGAGTTAACAGGGGAATAATACAGTTCCTTTTGTGAACCCCTCCACTCTTCTGCAGTTCATGGTCTGGATCCAGAGTACTGCCACCAAATCAGTACCTGTAGAACAGGACTCTTGCATTCCAGAGAAGGAATTGTGCTGTACCTGAAGTGGTGGCTGTTTTCTCCAACCCAAGTCCGGTTCTCTTGCCAGCTCTTTGTATGGTGAAGAAGCGAATTGGTCATACACATGTCACATACAATGAATGGTGACGTAGTTCAGTAGTAGAATATACCCTTTGGATAAGATATTCAGTACTTGATATCTCAGTTGTCTCCTCTTGAAACCTTAGGAAGCTGCTGCTAGTCAGAACTGGTTCTACATTAACTGATGCTTTATTTAGTACAGGGCAGCATCAAATAGCCATATGCCATGGGTAAAGGTAAAGGTTCCCTTGCTCGAAAGCCAGTCGAATCCAACTCTAGGGTAGCGGTGCTCATCTCCGTTTCAAAGCCGAAGAGCCAGCGCTGTCTGAAGACGTTTCCATGATCATGTGGCCGGCATGACTAAACACCCACGCGCACGGAACGCTGTTACCTTCCCACCGAAGTGGTACCTATTTATCTACTTGCAGTTTCTTGCTTTCAAACTGCTAGGTTGGCAGGAGATGCCATGGGTACATGCCACATAAATACCTAAGCACAAAAACACTCAGTTAGTGCAATCCTCCAACATTTTCTGAGGGGCAAGCCATACTGGATGGCTGTGCAGTCAGCCATTCACATGGAGTACCTGCCTCGCCTGTAACACTGTGTGCATGGTTGAGCTGAGTGGGGTCAGGGTGGGCAGAGAGCAGCAGCAGTGCGCCAAATGCATCAACTGATAGGTGGAATATCTTTGCTATCAAAGCTAACAGCCTGGTTGTTGCCTTCCTTGTGCAGTGAGCTTTGGGATTATACTGGATCCAGCATTGCTTTTGGAGAAACAAGTTAGTGCAGCTGCAGGAAAAGGCTTTCTTCCAATTCAGTCTAGCCTAGAAGATGTCCTCCTACCTTGACATGGCCAGTTTGGTGTAGTAGTTAGGAGCGCCAGTTTGGTGTAGTGGTGAAGAACAGTGGACTCTAATCTGAAGAACCGGGTTTGATTCCCCACTCCTCCACATGCAGCCAGCTGGGTGACCTTGGGTCAGTCACAGTTCTCTCAGAGCTGTTCTCTCAAGAGCAGTTCTCTCAGAGCTCTCTCAGCCCCACCTACCTCATAGGGTGTCTGTTGTGGGGAGAGGAAGGGAAGGTGATTGTAATCCGCTCTGAGACTCCGAGTGAAGGGCAGGGTATAAAGCCAATCTTCTCTTTCTCCTTCTTTTTCTTCTTCTGTCTGGCCACCTGGATTCACATCGTGGTAACATCAAGACTAGACTACTGTAATACACTCCACATAGGTCTCGCCTCAAAGTCTACCCAAAGACCCCAGTTGGTACAGAATGCCACAGCTCAGTTATTATCAGGAGCTAGGCAGAATGTGCATATTACTCACATTCTGGAGTCATCCCATCGGTTGCTTATCAATTATTGCGCTGTGGTTCAAGGTATTGATTATCACATACAAAGCCCTTCATGGCCTTGGTCCGTCATACGTGCACCTTTCCACCCCCCATGCCTGCCAGGACAGATTTGCTCATCAGAGCAGGACCTCCCGCAGGTGCTACCCTGCAAATGGGCAGAATTAACAGGTGCTTGTACATGGGCATTCTCTGTTGTGGCCTCCCACCTTATAATGAGGTCATGAACTGGCTTTCTGCAAATTGTGGAAAACTGAATTATTCGGGAGGACTTTTTGATACAACTATTCGGGCTGTGCAGTAACAATGTGGTTCAGAAAGATGCTTTGGTAAAGGGATAGGGACTGTGGGTTACAAAGCTGTGTATAGCTCATACTGTCTGTTGCTGTGAGTAGGATCCTATCATGTAATTCTCCTTCGTTTAACATGTCATGCTGATGCTTAAACTTTATTTCTACTTCATTTCAGATTTCTGCTTATTTTCTGCTTTCTGCCATCCAGACTGTATTTCTTTTTTTCTTTTTTTTGACTTGCCCAGATTGGGCAAAGTTTATTGTTGTTTTTTTTAACCGTATTTCTTTGTTTATTGGTTGTCCTGTCCGGTTGATTGTATTTGACTTACACCGTATTATCCTCCTTAAGTCCTGATGAGAAAGGTGGACTATAAATTTGCTTGTGAAAAACAGTGGCCTCAATTCTTGCTCAGAACAATGATTTATTTCCTCATCTATGGTCACCTGCTTGCCCATGTGACGATCAGACGAACACCTAATTTGCGGTTCAGAATAATAAATTTAGAAATATAGCTATTTCTTCCTTTGCGCCTTTACATACAAGCAAATTCTAATAATAGAAATAATTTGGTGTAGTGATTAAGTGCACGGTAACCAGTTTGGTGTAGTGGTAAAGTGTGCAGACTCTAATCTGGGAGAACCAGGTTTGATTCCCCACTCCTCCACATGCAGCTGCTGGGTGACCTTGGGCAAGCCATAGTTCTGTCAGAGCTGTCCTTAAAAGAGCAGTTTCTGTCAGAGCTCTCTCTGCCCCGCCTACCTCACAGGGTGTCTGTTGTGGGGAGGGGAAGGGAAAGGAGTTTGTAAGCCGCTCTGAGACTCCGAGCGAAGGGTGGGGTATAAATCCAATCTCCTCCTCCTCCTCCTCCTCTGATTGCCAGACCCTGCCAGAGGACAGCCCTTTAATTATCTGTTTGTAAATAGCTAAATGGGAAAATTACTTCTTTCTCCTGTGGCCTCAATGAGAATCAGTTCACCCACATTCTGAATGTGTTCATATTTTTCTTTCTTAATGTGTTCATACTTAACAGTACCTGTAAGAAGAGATGTCACTGGGATCTCCACAGTTAAGAGCAGAACCATCAGCATGTACCATGGTTTTATCACCAGGTTTTACCACCTGGAAATTTCCTGATCTGATCCCAGAACCAACAGTACGCGTCAAGCAGAGTTCCCTTTCTCTAGCTTTACACCATGCTGTTTCTCAGAGCCCTCCCACTTTTCTGTTCTCGTGACTGATTCAAAGGCGTTGAACGAACATGGTGTGTAGGAGATGAAATCGTAAAATGGATCAGTTGTGATACATGTAAAACAGTTGTGATGTATGTAAAACTTACAGGCTAGCTTATTGAAAGCTTTTTCGGCATCAATAGAAAAAGCTGTGGTGGGCTTCCTAAATCTCTGGCTACTTCAAGTTAAAACCAACGGTTCTCCTGTATTATGTGATGATAATCTGTTTATAACAAAGCTAAGTGGTTGGGATTTGTCAATGTATCAGGTATTTCTCTGGGCTCCTAGTGAGAATTTCAACGAGCAATTCACAACGAGGAACACTGATAACTGGAGTATTTTACAAGGCCTTTGCTGTATTTATTATAAATTAGTGCAGCGGTTAATTGTACTCCACCTACAGGGAGAAAAGCTAACTGAGGAGAAGACAGGGGATGATTAAGCATTCACAGGCTCATGGTGGTGGGGTAACATCCCTTCAAAGGACACAGAAAATTGGAAAGGGAATGTCACTTTCCCAGGTGCCTTGCCATTATTACAAGATTCAGCAGTTTGGGGAAATTTCTTCAATCAGATTTCGGGAATCCAAGAGTCACTCTGGCAAAGCATAGGTGAGCTGAACTGTACAG